CCCAGGGAAAGAATGTCCACGGCACCATGCCATCTGCTGACCCGGCCTGTGTCGTGAACCTGTTACAGCTTCAACTTGACAAATAAAACATGCAAATGCGGACGCAGTGTGAAAACTGAGTGTAAAGTCTGATGTTCAGGAAACTGTGACCGTCATTGGTCACACACTGCTCTGTCCCCAACGAAGAGCTGATCGACTTTAGAAAACAATTGTTTACTAAGATTGAAATAAACTAACCAAGTTTAAATGTTGTGATTTCCCCCATCTCCCCCACGCACGTGCACGCACACGCGGGTTCTCCAGGCTGGGCTTGGGCGGCACACGCGTCTGACTGGCTCTGTGACGTCACCGTAAGCCACGCACGTTTTGCTACGTCAGCCCGTGACGCCCCAGATAGTGGGACACTGTCACACCCCAGATCACGTGACCAGCCCTCGCGCACGTTTGCCCGAACAGCACTATCACGCCTCTGCATGTGATCTCTGCGTAAATTCCCACAGGATCACACACTGGGTCAAGGGCACACACCGGTTTCCAGGCTCCCGGAGTACAGCCGATGCTGGCCCGGACCCGGCACACTGGGGCCAGCTCCCACCCCCACCGCCAGTGTCCAAGGGGCCAGGGTGTGGCCCTGATCAGCTCAGCGATGACTCTGCCCTCCTGGCTTGAGGGCGGCACAAGGAAGCTTTGAAAACCCAAAGGTGCTCAGCTTCCTCCTGAACCTCGCGAGAATCTGCATAAAAGGAAGGAGCTGCGTCCTTTTAAACTCTGCTCTGCCCCCAGCGGCGTCCAACAGGGACAGGTGCCACAGCACCTTCGCCACCTGCGCCAGGCAGCCCGGGGCAGGGCCAGCGTTCCACGCCTGCACGACGCGTGGTGACTCCTGCTTGGAGCCCAGGAAGGCAGGGCCAGCAGGCCTGAGCAGCCATGACACCCACACGTGGCCTCGTCCCCGAGCACAGACGCGGACCAGTCTTGCTTGTTCCTCTGCTAAATGCACAGGTACTCTTTCCAGGCGACAGGTCCAAGGCTCTGTGCAAGGAAGGGACAATCTGGGACCCACACTAGCCTCGGGGCGGCACTGGGTGGAAGAGCAGCCCGGACAGCTCCACGCATGTCGAACAAGGCTCCCCATGCTGCGGCCAGACACCCCGCGCTGCCCTGAGCGAGCAAGGCAGCAGCAAGGGCCGTCCTTGCCTTACTGCAGGGGCCCCAACCCGCAGGCCACGGACACGGGTCCCTGGCCTGTCAGGAACCGGGCAATGCAGCGGAGGGTAAGTGGCAGGCGAGTGAGCGAAGCGTCATCTGTGTCTGCAGCCGCCCCCAGTGCCAGCATCGCCGCCTCAGCTCCGCCTCGGACCACTGGGCACTGGATTCTCATAGGAGCACCGGTCCCCGGTGCCACAAAGGTTGGGGACGGCTGCCTTACTGGGCTCCCAGGGCCAGAGCCAGGACAGGTGAGCACAGGGAAACATAAGTGCCCTAGACGTGGCCGGCAGAGCCGCCCGCGACAGTCTGTTGAGCGAGAGACGCTGGCCTGGGAGGCGCCGTGCCCAGACGTACCCGCACGGATCGACTCCAACACGAACTCTGAACGCGGAAGGATTTTCGTGACTTCAATAAGAAAGCCCTATTTAAAGGTCTGGAAA